AATAAATCCCTCCCTCCCTCCTTTTATCATTTCATCAACCCCATGTGCTTTGATTCCTGACTGCCTTGTTAATCTTTATCATAAAGTCAGACCTGGCATGTGCTTTTGCTCATGGACCTATTAAACCTACCAGAAAGTATCTCTAAGATCCCAAATATTTACCAGAATGGCTGTCCTTTCTCCTGGAGAAGAGTGTCTCACTGAGGCCTCCTGCATAGCCAGTTGGAATAAGATCCCTGACCTCTCCCCTGCTGGCCTTGTGCCTGCTCCTGTAAACTCATCAAGCCAGCATTTGACAGGATTAAGATTTGATTTGACACCCTGCTGGGGCGTCGTTCGGGAACTCAATTGTGCTAAGCAATGGAGTAGCACTTATTGGTTTCAGAGGGGATGGAAAACAATTTAAGCAACCTCTGTTCTCTTCAGTCCAGACACACACCATTGCTCTGTTGACTCAGGAGCAGCTGCTAACACTGAGCAGAGACAGGAGCTCTGTATGAAATCTTTCCCTCATTTGTCTCTAGCACATCAAGGAAAAGCTGCATGCACAGATGAGGCAAAACTCTTTCTTTGGACCATCCTTCTAATTCAAGTCCTGGCTGCTTTTCTCAGGGAAGGCAGAGTGAGGCTGGCAGATAGCAGAAGTCCTTAAGTCTTAGGGGGATGAAAGGCAGGAAGAATGTAAAAGCCCCTCCTTCCTTCCTTTCTTTCTTTCTTTCTTTCTTTCTTTCTTTCTTTCTTTCTTTCTTTCTTTCTTTCTTTCTTTCTTTCTTCTTTCTTTCTTTGTTTCTTTCTTTCTCTTTCTTTCTTTCTTTCTTTCTTTCTTCCATTCATTCTTTCTTTCTTTCTTTCTTCTTGATATAACTTAGGCTGCAGGGAAAGTTGAAAAACACTGGAGAAAAGAAAGGAGTGAAGAGGTGAGACCCAGGAATTTTAACTGAGACAGAGTGGGTGGATGGCTTTATTGCAGGCAAAAAGAAGCAGTAGTTCACATTTACTAATCCAAAGGGCAATAGATATTTTCAAAAAGCAAGCAATAAAAAGAAAATTCAAAAAGCAGTTCAGTGCAGCCCAGAATACATATCCAGGAAGTCTGAAGTATCAACATTTCTGAGAAACACAGATTTTCAGAATCAAGTAGAAATGTGGATTAAAGAAACCATGGTGCCAACAGGAAATCTGAAATGTTGAATCAGCTCAGGTTGCAGTGTGATATTGTCAGGAAACAGAGAGACGTTTGGGCAACAATCACATGTCCATGGGGTTCAGGATTAGGTCTTTAGGGTGAGATATTTAGGTCTATTGTGAATCTGGCCCAGTGCTTGTTTTTAGAGAGTTTCTAGTTTAGAGGGAGGGACATATGTACATTTTGACAGACACTATGTGTGGAATGTGTGGCTATCAGAAAGAGTGGGAGTGGAGCAGTGCGGGTCAGATAAGCTTCCTTGGATGTCAGCAGGAGTTATCACAACACAAGTGTGGTGTGTGTGTGTGTGTGTGTGTGTGTGTGTGTGTGTGTGTAGCATTTGTAAGCATTCTAGAGAATGATCACAGCTGGAACAAAACATGCTAAGGTCCAGGCAAGTAACTACAGCACTCAGTGGAGGAAGAGTTCAGAGCTGGTTTTCAACCTTGGTAGCAAATTGGAATCACTAGCAATGCTTTTAAAAGTATTAACTCTTAGCCGCCACCTTCAGAACTATTGATTTACTTGGTTTTAGGTAGAACTTTAGAATCTGAATATGTGTAAATACCATCAGGAGATGCTAATGAGTAGTCTGAATTGAGAAGTATCGGTTGAGAATACCCGTTGTTCATCCGTGACTTTTTTTTTTTTTTTGCTACTCAGTATATATCTTTATTATTATTATTTTTAGTAACATCCCTGGCTCCATTTAGGGGAATTACCTCTTTCTCAGCTGTGAGCCATCCTAGAAGGTGGCCACATGTGGTTGTGCAGGTTGAGCACTGCACAAACATGATTGACCAAGGCTGATTTAAGGGCTGAAATCCTCCCCTGGTTCTATTCACCAACCATGCACCCTGGTGGAGAGCTGTGCTTGTTTCAGGGAAAGGAGATTTTTCTTCAACTTCAACTGAGGTATCAGTTCCCCTGGTTAAAAAGATGCCTCACTCTAACTTAGCCAAGAAGGAGAAACATGATCAAGAGTATGCCAACAGGAATTTATCTCTCCTTGGACTTTTCATCTTAAAGATGGAAACCTTGAAAGAGTTAATTTGCCCCAGTGAGCAACCTGGAGTAACTCTACTGGCCCCTACTACAAGGGTCTCCCAAAGCTCTTTGGTTCCTGTGCTTTTCAAACTTTCCCCCCACCCCACCTTTCCATTGACTTAAAGCTTTGGAGAAAAAGGATGTGGTTTAGGGGGATAACCTCTTATAGGAAGAGGGGTGCTAGTCAAGACAAGAAGGCCAGGGAGGAGCTGTATAGAGTTTCCTGGAAGGATTTCCAGGTGGAGAAACAGCAGGAGCAAAGATGCTGAGGTGGGAATGAACACAACGCATTTGAAGAACAGCAATGAGATTAGTTAGTCTGGAGCAGAGCTAAAGGAAACGGTTTTACATTAACATTTAAATTTTCTATACAAAGAAATCTGGCAAACCTGGCCAGACACCGTTCCCCCAGGCAGTTATAAATAGGAGGCCGAAAGTGGTGGGGCCTAATCCCCAGGTTCCAGAGTCCCCCTCTGGCCCATCTACAAATTTCCTTATTGCCCAATCATTATAGGCATTGGGTCTGTGACTTCTGCAAAGGTGAGCTCTGCCTGTGTCCTGTGCTGGAGAGGAAAATTAAAGCTATGGTGAAGCCTAGTGCTTAGCTATAAATAAAAGGTCATGGGGTGAGATACCTGCTTGTTCACTCCCCAAATGTGCCCAGGCCTCACTGATGCCCCATGCTTGGCACCTAGCAACATCCTTGCAATGATCCCCAGTGCCAGCTTCCCCAGGCATCCGTACTCCCTCCCTTTACACACCACTTGTGCTCGGCTTCCAGGCCCTCAGAATAATTGGGTCTGAGCAAGCATTCCCTCTATAAATATTAATTTGGATATGCTTGGAATCCTCTGCTTCTTTTAGATGAATTGTTAACTAGCTTTCTAATCCGAAGCTTCTTGACAAGGAAAGCAAGATCTCTCTGCTGGCTGCCTCTTCCTTTATTGGTGTGGGGGAAGGTGGAATTCAGTGGAAGTTGCAAGGGTTGATTTTACAAGGTGAGCTTTGTATGGTCAGGCCCCCTGAAGCTGAAAACACCCCAGGCTCCTCTGAACAAATCTTGATAGAACCACCGTTGGCAGAAAATTAGTATAACCTGACCAGGACTATGATCTTCAGGAACAGACAGACCATAATCAGGATCTTAGCTCTGCCACTAAGCAACCACGTGAACCTGGGCAAGTTATTTCACCTCTCTGGGCCTCAATTTTCTCATCTATAAAATAGGAATGATAATAGGGGCTTCCTATGGGTATAATGGAATTAAATTAAGTAGCACATAGTTACTTTTCAAAAAAAGAGAAAATATTAATAATGAAGGAGAGAGAATTTTAGAGTAAGCACAGATAAGTCAATGCATTTAGACCACTCTGGTCACCTGTACAAACTTCAGGGTAGCAGCTGATGGATTTTTACCAGATCTTAGTGGGTAGAGGCAGTCTCAACCCATGATTATGTCGTGTAAATCATGATTGTATCTTGAGGCAGCAAATCCACCCACTCGTCCATCCATCAATTCATTGAATGAATACACTGAGCACCTATTATGTGTCTTATATGGTAACAGCTGCTGAGGACACAGGAGGAAGCAGGTGCAGTGTATGAAGTCAACAATGGAAAGGCATTTGTTGTAGGGAGCTAGTGGGGTCTAATGGTTCACAATGGAAACTTTGGACTAGAGAGATTGCTGGTCCATCACTACAGAACTGTGTGACCTTGGACCAAGGACCTCAGCCCATCAAAGTTTACTCTCTTTATCTATAGCATGGGAACAACAGTAGCTGCCCACTGGAGTTGGGGATAAGAGTTTCTGCTTTGCTTGCCTGCCAGGACCTATTGCTTGAGGTTCAAATTCAATGAGCTAATAAATGTGAACCCGCTTTGTACGCTGCAAAATTAAAGTGAACGTGCAGCCTTCATTTTCTAAAAAGAAGTTCACCACAACTGGCTTTCTCAGGATTTATGCCACGCTCACATCGTTGTCAAGGGCAGCCCCTCCTAGGTCTCACCTGCTAGGCAGTGCTCTGTCGCTCAGCCCAGTCTCTGCCATAGCTGCCAATCAGCGTCATTTCCTGGGGGAAGAGTGGGAACAGTGGGAACAGGAAGGTGGTTTGGATGACCAAGCTCACTTTGTATGTGATCCATGTCCTTGTGTCTTCCAGAAAGGCAGGGAACTTGAGCCCAGGCATCCTTTAGAAGCCCCAAAGAACAATTGTTTCTACATAAGGCAGACTTTCCTTTCTTAGTGGAATTCTAGGCCATGCCACGACACTCCCTTCCTGCACAAAATGTCAAAGCTGTTGGCCTTAGCTTCGCCCTTCTGGGGAAAGTTCTAGTCTGGCATCTCCTGGTGGTATAGTGTAGTGTTTGTGTGGATAGGCTCTGAGGCCAGGCTGCTGCACTCAGTGAATGCTCTGCCATGTCCTTGGCTGTGTGACCTTTGCTATGCTATTCAACCTTTCTAAAACTCAGTCCTTAGACACAATGGGTCTACTAATGCTGTCCAAGTGATAGGTTTGTTGAAAGATCTAGCAAGCTAAAGCAGTTAGCCTGGGGCCGGACACATAGCAAGCGCTCAATTGATTCCTAATATCGTTTCCTGCACATTCTCATTCCTGATGTTCCATGGTGTCAACTGCAAGAAGGGGCAGTGCTAAGCTTGGATTCAAGGAAGTAATACAAGTGGCTGGTGGTAGAAGATCCTCAATGAACAAAGTTTATTATTATCATTAATACTATTAATCATTGCTATTATTATTCATCATAGACTGAAGACAATGCTGGTGCCTAATTTGAAGGGAAGGGGAGCCTCTGATTCTCACCCATAGAGTTCTACGCACTGGTGAGCCTGTATCCCAGACAGCTCGGGGAGGGACTGCTAGAGAGAGAGCTAGCCTGGCCCAGAGAATCCTCATCATTACCATTTGTTCCATACCAGAGTGGTTTCCATAATGAGCTGACAGTTGTTTCCATGGAGGACCCCTGTACTTTCCTTAACCTGTGCTTCGATGGACATTGCAAAGACATCCCACACAAGCACAGCAAGCTCATCCACACCATAGAATGTTACCTACCCCCAGGAGTGTGATTAAGGTAGGCAGTTGGGGAGAACTCAAGCAGAAACAACCCCTCAGGTTGTCCCACTGCCCCAAGGCTGGGCTGCCTCAACAGTTTCCACCTGCCTTCTGAAGTTAAATCTGCTTCTTTCTCCAGCGGCTCAGGCCTGGAGTAATGTGGACTGGCTGTGCCAAGAGACTCTCCAAGGTGGGTCTTTAGAGTAAAGGAAGCAGTAAGGTGCTTATTTCTCTCTAAGAAGACTTGACCTACAAATAAAGTTTGACTATCCCACCTTTAATTTCAGGTGCAGTCTTTGAACTCAAGAAGCCAGAACCCATGTCTGTTCAGTTGTCCTATGCATCCAACATGCTCAGCACATAGTGAGTGCTGGGAAGTACTGGCCGAAGGGATAGATGGATGAGTTTATCCATATCTCCTAGTTGTAGCACCCGACCAGCTGTGTCTCCTGGTGTTCACAGTCACAGCCCAGTTCCCAGACTCTTCTCCCAAAGACAGAGATTTAACAGCTCTGCCTTTCCTCATCATTTCCATCATATGGGCTCAGTCTCACAGGTCCTACTCCATTGGTGCACTCCTCAGAGCTAAGTGGATCTCAGAGATTCCCAGCTCCCACATTCTAATCACCCCATCTTCCTTACATTAGTCCTTAGATTCTGAACACACGTGTGCTAGGGTAATTAACTCTAGTTGCTGTAAGAACCCCTGTATCTCAAACACTTGGCACAACGGCCTATTTCTTACTCATGTCACACCCCAATCAGGCATCAAGCCACAGCCTTATGTGCAGTGATTTAGCAATCTACTTTCCTTCTGTCTTGAGGCTCAACTTTTCACATAGGGTTGTGCAGTCCTAAGCTGGATCCTTAGGCTGTTAATAAAGAGAGTGAACAGGGAGCTCCGAGAGAAGCAGGGCTGGCCCTGGAGATGGTGTACATTTGCTCACCCACATTCCACTTGTCTGAATCAGCACGTGGCCTCAGCTCAAGAGCCAGGGAGGCAGGAACTGCAGTCTCCCTGTGTTCTTAGGCCAGAGAGGTGGGATTGGTGCACATCTACTTTCTCCGCCACAACACGCTTCCCTTGTATTCTGTCTCATGCCCTAGTCCACAGGATAAAACATCTGCTGCTTCCAGCTATGATGACCAGTTTTGCCCCCAGGCTCTTTGTAAGATGGAGGCTGATACAGTTTGGATATCTTTCCCCTCCATATCTCATGTTAAAATGCGGCTCCAAGTGTTGGAGATGCACCTGGTGGGAGGTGTTTGGGACACAGGGGCCGCCCTCATGAACGGCTTGATGCCCGCTCCTTGGTGATGAGTGAGTGCTTGCTCTATTAGTGCATGGAAGATCTGCTTGTTTTAAAAAGCCTGGCACCTTCTCCTCTCTCTCCTGCTCCTCTTTTCACCATGTTACCCACTAGCTCCCCTTTCTCCTCCTGCCGTGATTGGCCGCTTTCTGAGACCTCACCAGAAGCAGACGCTGCTATGCTTTCTGTACTGCCTGCAGAACCATGAGCCAATTTAACCTTTTTTTGTTGTTGTAAATTACCCAGCCTTAGGTATTCCTTTATAGCAACACAAAACAGACGAATACAGAGGCCATGCCATATTCCTACTCATTCGCCTCACCGGGGGTGGCAGCTCTGCCACTCAGTGCCAAACTACTTGCTAAAGTTCTGCTTCCCTAAGGGCTGTGGGCCTGGCTTCCTTGTTACCGTGCCCACCTGACTGCTGCATCAGTCAGGAGCTGCATCTTTTTTTCTCACCCTAGACATCAGTGTTCACCCTTACCTGTGAGATGGCAAGAGGCAGTTAGGATCCTTGGCTAGCCTGGCTTTTCCACATGGCACAGGCCACAAACTCAAAAGCAATACTGGACTCCTTTCTTTCCTTCTCATACCCTATCAATCCTGTTAGCAAGTCCTGTTGGATCTTTGAATGTACCTCAAAACATGTTCCGTGTAAGCCATGTCTATTACCATTTAGGTAGAGTCCACACACAGAACTGCACACAAATCTTAAGTATTAAACTTCATTCATTTGTACGTATGAATGCATCTGTGCTGCAATCCACAACTAGATACACATTTCCAGCATCAGAGGAGGCTCCTTTGTGTGTCATTCTGGTAATCGCTATGGTAATTGCTGAAGGTAACCACTGTGATGACCTCTATCATCTGTTCTCGATTGCCCATTAATGGACTCAGACGTATGTGCTCTTTTGTGACTGACTTCCTTTGTTCAAAGCTGTCTATCTGAGCTTCGTGCATGTCGTTGGTGATTCAGCAGTTTGCTTACTTATTTATTTTCTGGTTGATGGACATTTGGTTTTTCAGTTTGGGGCTGCCGTGAATAAAGTTGATATACATTATTTTACATTTTTTTGGGTGATCATGAACACATGTTTCTGTTGGGTATATTCTTAGAGGTGGACTTGATGGGTGTTAGGATATATGTATATTTGGCTATAAAAGATACTGCCAAGCATTTTAAAAACTGTTTATAAGGATTTATACTCCAGGGCCAGGCGTGGTGGCTCAAGCCTGTAATCCCAGCACTTTGGGAGGCCGAGGCAGGTGGATTGCGAGGTCAAGAGATCGAGACCATCCTGGTCAACATGGTGAAACCCCGTCTCTACTAAAAATACAAAAAATTAGCTGGGCACGATGGCGCGTGCTTGTAATCCCAGCTGCTCAGGAGATGAGGCAGGAGAATTGCCTGAATCCAGGAGGCGGAGGTTGCGGTGAGCCGAGATCATGCCATTGCACTCCAGCCTGGGTAACAAGAGCAAAACTCCGTCTCAAAAAAAAAAAAAAAAAACCAATTTATACTCCAAACAGCAGCGTATGAGAGTCCCATTTGCTTCCTCTCTTTGCCATCACTGGTATTATTAGTCTTTTTAATTTTAGCTTTCAGGTGGGTGTGGAGACAACCACTCCTTGTTGTCTCCACTACTCTCACTCTACTTCAAGGCACAGTTAGTTGTCTATTGCCTGGACAGCTGCAGTGAACTCTTGATTGGTCCCTTTCTGCTCTTGCCAAACCCCCTTCAATCCATGTTCTACCCAATATCCAGGATGTTTCACTTTCTACTAAAGCCCTTCCCTGGCTACTGGTTGCACGTAGAGATAAATCTCTGATCTTAGGGTGCCCTTCAAGCTTTCACGTCTCCCTTCTTATCATTCGTATTTCAGCCCAAATAATGCCTCCTCAGGGGGCCTTTCCTGACCATCACTCAAATAACATGATGATCCTAGCCAATCACTTGTTATCCAATCCATTGCTGTATTTTCTTCACATCTCTTGTCACTATCTGTACATCTAAGTCATTCGCACTGAACTATCATTTCCCGCTTCTCTGTACGTTCTACGAATGTGGGGCCTGGGGTGTTGTGTTTCTTGCCTTGCCTGAGTACACAGCCCAGTGCTGGGCACATTGAAAATCCTACATCAATGTTTACTGAGTCCACCTGCGTGCGCCTGGGAATCCAGCCTGCCACAGCCCACGGTGCATATCCTGTAGTGCGTATCTTGGATTGCCACTGAGCCACTGCATGTCTCCAGTAAATTCCGGACTGTGGCAAGTGATCCTTAAAAGCATAAGGGCCGGATCTCCGACTGTCCAGCCAAGTTAGTCTGATTAGAATTCAACTCCACTAGAAGATACTGACCAAGAACAGACCAAATCCACAGTATTACAGCCTGCCTACCCTAACTTAAAAAAAAAAGAATTTTTACCTGTGTCTCCTTGAAGCATTCACTGACTACACTTCTCAGTCTAAATATCTCCTCTTCTCTGAACATGCCCACACCCTTTTCCATGGCTTCTATAAAATCTGCCTTCCAGGGAACTCCTGGAGAGTAGAGATTTACACTTTCTTTCCAGAGTCAACTGTGAGGGCAAGGAAGGTATTGTTATTATTTTCTCCATTTTTCACTTGAACAGCCTGGGCAAGATCTAATGAAATCCCTTTCCCCTCCCCCGTGCACCCCTCCTTCCCAGGATAACCTAGAGGCCTTTGCCACCTTGCCACAGTACTGAGATAGGCTGAAAAGAATCCATCTACCTCTCCAAGACTGCATTTAAGAGAAAGCAGAAACAGAGAAGGGCTGCTTTTAGTGGTCTGAAAAAAAAATGAGGTCCTTTTCCAAGCAATTTCTAGTGGTATAGAGGACTGACATACCTTAAAATAGGCAGGGTGGTCACACTGTACTGGGACAGCAGAGATCCTCTGGGCAGGTGGGGGTGGGCCAAGATCTCCTGGCAGCCTCTGTGATAGGTGGCGTCTTTCTCTCTCCCTTTCCCCTCTCTGCCTTATCTGTCTCTCTCTGTCTCCCTTTCTATTTTTCTGTCTCACTTTTCCTTCTCCTGACCCCTGCCATCTCCCATTACAAGCCCACTTAGTCCCAAACTGTCAAATGACAAATAACGTTCCCTCCTTCCCTTGAGTGCACATATACTCCTGAAGTGCGAATCCTGAGATATCTCAAAATCTTTTTCTTTTTCACCCACATACATATGAATAAAAATACATGTAAGTACATACGGACACAACCATTGATGCATATTCACATATGAATACACACAAACATACCTACACATCTAGACACATATTTATGCACCTTCCTCTGCCTATACCAAGCAACTCTCACTCTATCATTTGTTCACTTTCGTTCTGTCCCTGTTTCTCTTTATTACTTGATACACCCCCGGACCTCCAGAATAACCAAACGCAGAATCTTCTTTCCGAATGCGTTGGTTTCTCTCTGTCTTTAGATGTACATATACGTATTCTACACATGCAACCTATTTTGTTTTCTTCTTTCTTGCAGGTCCTTCTTCACACACCTGTGAAATGGCAGCGCTTGCATTCTTGCCTCTGCTTTACCCCAGAACAGAGCTTAACAGATTCTTTCCTCCATCTGGCTGATCCGTTGGGGGCAGTGCAGCATGGTGACTTCTTCCATCAGCCTCTTTGCAAGATACGTCCATGACCAACAGCATGTAACAAATGTCCTGGGTTATTTCCTAGACCATCTTCTCCTTAACTGGAAAGAGTACACAACAGCAGGAGCCCCATGAAGTGGATGGAGCCAGGACTCCTAGAAATAAGGGTACAAGAGTGAAATTATACTTCCACTCCCCATCTTCCCAGGCTGTGTGTCTACAGGCCAGCTGCTTTCCTCTAATAACATCATTCTGTTCATCTGCAAGGTGGAGATGGTACAGTATTTGTTCTGCACATACACCAATGGATTACTCTACATTTACACTTACTTTCTATTGATGGAGAAAATCCTGAATAGGCAATGAACGTCTTACAGAAAATCAATAAATATCTCTATGTGTTCAAGCACAAGATAAAGGGCATAGTGTGCATACCTCGTTATTTAAGTAGCCATCTATCCATTCATCCAGCCAGCCAGTCAGCCAGCCACTTATCATCCACCCATTCATCCACTCCACCATTCACTCATAAATTCACCCACCCATTCACTCATCCACACATCCACTCACCAATCCACCCACTAATTCACCCATATACCATTTATCTATCCATTCACCCATCAACCCATATATCCACACACGAATCCATCTATCCACCCATCTACTCACTCACCCATCCACCCATCCACCTATCTATCCATTCACTCATTCACCCATTTATTCACCCATACATCTGCCTGCTTACTCACCTGTACATCTATCCACCCATCCACCTATCTATCCATTCACTCATTCACCCATTTATTCACCCATACATCTGCCTGCTTACTCACCTGTACATCTATCCACCCATCCACCTATCTATCCATTCACTCATTCACCCATTTATTCACCCATACATCTACCTGCTTACTCACCTGTACATCTATCCACCCATCCACTCACATCATCCATACATCCATACATACACCCACCCCCCTTCCAGTCCTTTCATTCATTCATCCACTCACTCACTCATCTACCCATCCACCCATCCATTCATCCATCTACCTGTCCATCTACCTGCCCACTCATACATCCATCCACCCACCCAGCCAGTCATCCATCCATCTTATCTGTCCACCCATCCACCCATCCACTCATCTACCCACCTATCCATCCATCTACCCATTCATCTATCCACCCATTTATTCATCTGTTCATCCACTCATCTACCCATCTATCCACCCATATACTCACTCCCATACCTATTCACCCAACCACCCACCCATGCAGTCACACACTTATCCATCCATCCATCCATTCATCTACCCCTCCACCCATCCTTCCATTCCCCCATTCACCTATCCACCCAACTATTCATTCATTCATCCATTCACCCATTCAGTCATCCACCCATCTTTTCATCCATCCACTTATCCACCCATATACCCATTCACTCATCCACCCATCTACCATATACTTACTCTCCCATCCATCTAACCACCCATCTTTCCATCCATCCATCTACTCATGCATCCATCCACCCATCCATCCGTCCATCCATCTATTCATCTATCCATCTATCCACTCATCCATTGACCCACTCACTCATCCATCAATCCATTCACACATATACCCATCCATCGACCTATCTACCAATCTATTCACTTCCTTCCATCTTTACTTCCATCACCCTAGTCAAAGCCAGCATCATTTTTTATCCTTCACCACTGTGATATTCTTCTAATTGGTTCCCCTGTTTTCATTTTTCTCACCTTTCCTGCAATTAGTTTTACCTAACAGCCAGAATGATCCTTTAAAAATGTGAGCCAATTCTTGTCACTGCTTACCTAAAACCTTTCTATAACTCCCACTCCTCTTAGCTTGTATCCCAAATTTCTTATTTAACTCAAGGTTTTGAGTGAGCTGACCCCTGCTTTCCTCTTGGGTTCTTTTAGACCACAGTCTCTCCATTCCACTATGCTTAACCACTTGAGAATTGTCTCAAGACTGCTATCACACCAAGACCTCTCTTGCCTAAGGTATTTCTTTTGCTGCTTAGATTGCTGCTTCCCTTGAGCAACATGGCCTTGTTAGACACTTACAAAGGCCAATTCCTGACTCACCAAACCAGTACTGGACACAGCCTCTTGGGATATCCTGGTGAGCCAAGTCTTGGCTGGGTAACATACTCAATTCTGATCGTGTACAAAACTTCATTTTTTTCTCTTCCCTTTTGTCCAAGTTGATGAACTTCTACCCAGCACAATTTATTCAGATCACAGCACTACTTGGTGCAAATTTAAGTTACACTAAATACTTTGGGGCTTAGAGCTCAATAGCTAGGTCAATCTATGGAATATGTCATTGGTAGAACTTCCAAATATAAATAATCATGTGGTGTCCAAGAAGAGCAGCAGGAACTTCTACACCAAGGGAAACAAGTTACTTAACATCTCTGTGCCTAATTTTCTTCTAAGGGTAGTACATTTTCACCTTGACCTGTCTGAAGGCAGTGTCTTGAATTCTGTCCCCTCAAACTGTATTTCTTCCACTTGCTGATTTCAGAATTCCATTGCAAATTCTCAGCCTCATGTTCTGCTTTTTGTATCATTGCCTTATATGTAACAAGTGTTCTCAACTCCTCCTAATCTTATTAAACTGCTGTTTTCACAAAGTAACTGGGTGATTTTCAATCCATGCACGTTGGGATTTAGCACAGCATGCAAGAAGCTGAGCTGATGTCAACTTCTGAATTGTAAGCTGCCAGATACACCCAACCTCCCTGCCCCTGCCTCAGCCAAAGGCTTCACGTGTCCAGGTTTGATGACTTTGATGTCTCTGAGGGCAGAGGGGACACTGCCTCTCTGACTCTTGGGCATAAATAGCAAGGTCAGAGGTGGCTGAAGGATGGCAGGGGAGAAGAGCTCTCTCCTGATTCTATCATGTGATGAAGAGAACTGGGAGTTAGGAAACCTGGGTCCTACCTGCAGCTTTGACTGCCTTCCCGTTAGTGATATTGGCCAAGTCACCCTATGTCTCTGGGCCTCACCTTAGATTCTAGTTTCCTATTTCCGAAGAGAAGTTGAACCAGTACATCTAAGTCTGCTCTACTCGAACAGAGATCACATTATTTAGGCTACAGCCTGCCAATCACCCAATAAACCCAGAGCCTATGACAAGTCTGAAGACTAGCCACATAGCCCATTTCACTAATTTTTTAAACCAAACTCAAAGGGACAGAATTGATCTCTCTAAAAAATTGTCTACAAGATGTCAGAGTATACAAACACAAAAAAAGCTATTTTTCTGTCTTCCTTCCTCTTCTTTTTCTCTCCTCTATCTCCCCATTTCTTACCCTTTTTTCTTCCTCCCTCCCTTTCCCTCTTCCTTCCTTAACTTCCTTTTCTTCCCTCCTTCCTTCCTTCCTTCTTCCCTCCCCTCCCTCCTTCTTTCCCTCCTTCCCTCCCTCCTTCCTTCTTCCCTCCCTCCTTCCTTCTTCCCTCCCTTCCTTTCCTTCCCTTCTTGGTTTTATCTTTCCTTTTTCTATTATGTGATAACTAGAACCTAGCCTCATCTTTCTCCTGGAGTCTGCTTGTCTTCGATTTCTTAGTGTTACTGGGAGGTTGGAAAACATCACTAACCATCAAGGTTCTCCAGAGAAAGAGTGTGTGTGTGTGTGTGTGTGTGTGCATGCACATGCGTGTATGCCTATATTAAGAGATTTATTTTAAGGAATTGGCTCACATGATTGTGGGGGCTGGCAAGCCTGAATTTGTAGGGCAGGCTGGCAGACTGGAAACTCAGGCAGGTGTTGATATTGCTGTCTTGAGGCAGAATTTCTTTTCTTGGAAACCTTGCATTTGCTTTTAAGGCTTTCAACCGATGAAATAAAGCCCACCTATATTGTTGAGAGAAATCTTCTTTTATTTAAAGCCAATTGATTATAGATGTTAATCATATCTGCAAAATACCCTCAAAGCAACTGTTAGATTATTGTTTAATTGAATAACTGAGTACTGTAGACTTGCTAAATTGACACAAAAAATGAACCACCACAGCATCCAATCACTTCCACACATACAGTGCTTAATATCTTCAGGCCTTAATCAAAATTTTGTAGGTTCACTCTGATTTAGGTCTTCACTGAGTCCTCCTTTCTCTCTGGAACAAAAGACTGGAAGGCAGAGGCTGAAGCTGTAGCAAGGATCATCCAGCTCAGGACAGCTCCGGAGCCTTTTTAGGGGTCAGAAACCTATGACTCTCAGAGCATCCCTTGGAAGGTAGAGTTGGGCTGAGGATGGAAGCACATCCCAGTCCCTCAGGCTGGGCTCCTGGGTCAGCAGGAAAGAGGTTACTGAGGAAGGAGATTTTCCTTCTTAAACTCAATTCATGTTGATATACCAGTCTTGCTGGCAGGAGGCAGAGGGACGGCTGGTGCTTCTAACTGGAGGTAAAGACATGGGAATGATGATGGTAGGGTTTTCATCAAGAGGGCACTTACTGTGATGGTTAATACTGAGTGTCAACTTGATTGAATTGAAGGATGTGAAGTATTGATTCTGGGTATATCTGTGAGAAAATAAAGAAGAATAACATTGGAGTCAGTGGGCTGGGAAAGGCAGACTCACCGTCAATTTGGGTGGGCACCACCAATCAGCTGCCAGCATGACCAGAATATAAAGCAGGCAGAAACATGTGAAAAGACTGGACTGGCTTAGCCTCCCAGCCTACATCATTTTCCTGTGCTGGATGCTTCCTGCCCTCGAACATCGGGCTCCAAGTTCTTCGGCTTTGGAACTCTGACTGGCTTCCTTGCTCCTCACCTTGCAGATGGCCTGTTGTGAGACCTTGTGATCATGTGAGTCAACACTCCTTAATAAACTTTCCTTTATATATATGTCTATCCTGTTAGTCTGTCCCTCTAGAGGACCATGACTAATACACTTATCATAGTCATTATAATAAGGGAAAACTTGGATGACCTTAGGCTTGACACAGGCTGAGTCCGCAACAGGGAAAAACAGAGAGAACTGGTTGGAAAAACGGCTCTATAACTACCAAGCAGCCCATCTATACTTCACAGTAACAGTATTAGTAGCAATAATACTACTCACAGCTAACACTTGTGGATCTATATGCTAGCACTGTTCTAAGTACTGTTCACACATTAACTCATTTGACACTCACAGTAGTGTTATGAGGTAGTTACTATTACCATCCACATTTAAAATGGGAATTAATTAATTAATTAATTAATTTTCAAAGACAGGCTTTCACTGTCAGGCCCAGGCTGGAGTGGAGCAGCATGATCATGGCTCATTGCAGCCTCAAACTCCTGGGCTTAAGCAATTCTTTTGTTTTGGCCTCCCAAGTAGCTGGGATACAGGTATGAGCTGCCATGTCTGGCTAATTTTTAATTTTAGTCTTA